CATGCCGCGCTATTAACAAAGCAATCGCGTTACCTTTTAACAAAGTAAATTCAAAAAAAAAAAAAAAAAAAAACAAGTTTACATGAAAAAAATGTCCTTGAAAGAAAATTCAAATTAAAAGGAATAAACATTTCCCTTTTTATACAATATGTATCGACGTTGCATATAGTTTCTATATACCGGTATGATAAAGTCAAATGTTTGTATGTATTTGGAGCACAAATATGTTTTAATTTTATACATGCACGCTATTTACAAACAAATGTCCATCAAGAACTTATAAAAGTTAAAATGTTAGTATAGTAAAATGTAATATACTAGTATGTAAAGCAGTAAAATCCATTGTGCCTAGCCCTCTTATTAAATGAACCCTGTTAAATTCGAAAGCATAAAAGTTTTTAATACGTATCACAAAGTATTTTTCCTCCTTTTTTTGTGAAATGTTAAATTTTTTGAAAAATATCCATTATATTATTATATTTCTTGGTTTAAAAATTCAAATCTCTGAATGTCGCTGGCAAAACAATATCAATTTTATAATTTGGAAATATCTGTAATCTTTCTCCCTATTTAGATAGTTGTAATGCAAGTTATAAACTGCAAAGTTGAAACTAACTTTTACCCGCACCCAAAATGATTTTCTTTCAATATTCTATAGAAAAATATTTTCAGAAAGATTATTTTCCAGTAGATCTTTTTAAATCTATATTTTATGATAAATCTTTTTCGTGAGAATTCCTTTCTTTCAAAAATGATGACATGTATATTTTTATGTCAAAACAAGCAAACTACACAGTATCCATTAGTATTTTGCAGGTAATGGAGGCGCGTTTCCGTCTTCTCCAGAAGGTCCCGGTTGTTGACTGAAATCTTGTGGTTGCCCGAATCCTTGTGGTTGTCCATATCCTTGTGGTTGCCCAAATCCTTGTGGTGGTGGATATCCCATAGGTACTCCGTATACCGGTTGCCCATATTGGACATGCACGGGCTGTACAAACATGGGCTGACCATAATTCGCTTTAAAAAAATCAAATTTACACTTGTATATTTCATGCTCATGCATATTTTTTTTTAAAAAACTGAATAGTGTTTGTAATGTCAGATTTACAAAAATTTTGCTTGTGACCATATGGTGGTATTTCATGCAGCACTTATCGAATTCTGCATTATACAATTGTTGCTACTCTTGTATCTTCACAAAAACAATTCAGTTTCTTAATTAGTTGCAAATATTACAGTTTTATTATGAAAATTTTCTAAGCTCTCATATAAACTTCTATATACCAGTATTTAATTTGGATAAAAACTCCAACACCACATACCTGTGTGCATTGCATTTACGCTTGTAGCAGTAGTTGTCGTCCCTATTGGTCGTACATTAGTAACAGTAGCTCTACGTGGAGCCGGTTTGCATTTTTTGCAGACGACTGCTACACAAAATATTATGATACCAATGCAAACTACACAACCAATGACACCTCCAATGACAGCACCAGTAGTAGAGCCATCATAGTTACTATAAGAATAATAACATCTATACCCCGAAGCCGCTGTATAATAGCAGTAGGAAGTTGCTGATACCACATGATGACCTAAAAAAATTACAGCAGATTTCTCAAATCGAACACGTTCTTAAATACAAAGGTAACTACATTATTCGTATCTGTCAGTAATATTCGGCAAAAGACATTTTAAAATTCTTTTTTTTTAATAATTCTAAAACGTGCGTTATTCTGTCAAGGTTCAGTATTTATATGTTTTAACATACTAGTACTAGAAAGAATTGAAGAAAACAATCTCTCTCTCTCTCTCTCTCTCTCTCTCTATCTCCTACAACTACTACTACCCTGAGATAATCGTAGGTTTTTATCTTATACATTGAAAATGTTACGATTAGTTCAATAGATGATAAAATCTACAGTAAGTATTAAATTGGGCACATTATGTTGCAATCATTAACTATTATTGCAAGCTACAATGATCAAATAAACACAGTCTTTTTTCAAGTAAAACAGCTTGAGAAATAAATTAAAATCCAACTGATCACCCCTTTAACTAAAAATAAATTTAAAAAAAATAAAACAATACTTACTTATTAGGCTACAGAAGCTGCTTAAAAATATGAAAGTAATTGAAACTGTAGATGATAAGGCCATTTCGTTTGAGAAGAAAACTGTAAAGGGATGCGAATATGAGGTAAACACACAGTTCCCTTAAAATTGATAAGGTGATATAATCAATTTAGAGTTCGTGTTAATGACGCATTGAATCACGAATTCCATTTAAATTTGCAGATAGAATACAGACCACGACATTGTCTTTCTTCATGGTCCACATGCACGTGTACTGAGCCCGTGATTTTTGGTCAGGGCACTTTTGTGTCAATCTTAGGGGTTTAGAATTTATCACACTATATTGTTATCTAAAATATTATGATCTAAATTGTGGAGAAGAATTAAACCCTCAAATATTAAAATGCATAAAAGAATATTACAGATGATTTTCTTCTTAATATTTCATGAATAAAAGACTAGATTCAATAGAGAAAAAAATATGTATATTTTTCCTACCGTCAAACATAGATTTTTCATGAAAAAAAAAACAACTTAAGTACGTTTGAATAATTTTGGAGCACATTAAAATTAATGGATGGCATATGCTTGTTACAAATGGATATAAACATTTTTTTAAAGTTTTGAATCTTTTTTTTTTTTCAAGTTTTGAATCTTTTTTACTCTCATGAAATAAATTGTCTTTTCCTAGCTCTTAATATTGAAAAAAAACTTTATAAGACTTTTGATGAAAAATGTGTGCAAATTTGGTTAAATAAGAAGCCGTTTTGATAACAGGAGGACAACTGAAAATAATCATATTTGAACTCGATTTTTCATTTTAAATATGTATACATACAGATGTAAATATACACATTTCAAACCAATGTCTGTGTTATTGTACCAATGTACTTCAGGTTATGAGGTTGAATTTTCTCTAACCTAGTGCCGTGCTACACCTGGCCGTTTGATCCAAGGACTTCCATCCATGCTAATGAGATGTGAGGGTCTGGTGAGACATGATGTACTATATATTTGCATTTGCTACTCTCCATCACTTTCATTTTGCTTTTTTCTATCTAGAGGTGTCAGCGGCAGGCGTTGGCTCGATAAAGATCCCTCACTGCTCAATGGCCCTGAGTGCCGAGTAAAGGTCAAAATTTGAAGCCCTTCACCGGCATACGGTGACGTCTCCATATGAGTGAAAAATTCTCAAGAGGGACGTTAAACAATATACAATCAATCAATCTATCTAGAGCAATGAAAATGCACACATGTACTTACATGTAGTCATTTTTAGGATGTCCTTGCATTGCTTCGCGAAAAAGTTATATTGCTGCATATTTTTGCCCTATATATGCAAGACAGATCATGTCAACCTGCAACTTAATTATGTAGCCATACATGTGACTTATTTATATCAACATTCAACAAGAATTATGAAGACATGCGGCTTATTCATGCTATCATGCAACAACGATCGTGAAGATACGCGGCTTATTTATATCATCATGCAAAATTATGTTGAGATGCAAGTAACCAATCTTTTAAAGAATCTAATTTTAATGTTTGTAGATTATATGTACTTACCAACTTACGCCATTATAAGATACAAAATGCAAGTTATATTCAACAAATTAGTATATCCATTTTTGTTTTTCAAAATATAATCTTAATATAAGCATGATACTTATTTTTCAAGTTTTTTAAAATACATTTTACAGGGTTTGCTTTTTTAGGTGTTTTCATTATATATTGAACGAAAAAAAAAATCTCTAATACATGAAAAAAAGAAAATTTTATTATTTATGTATTCTGATTAAGAAATGTGTTTTCATATTTAAACATTTCTGTCAAATTAAAGAACAAAGCTAAATTATATAGTCTTTTTAATTCTCAGCTTTGCCGACCGTCATGTCTATGTACTGATTCACAGTTTAAAAATTTATGAATTATGATATTTAAAATCATGATCTAATAAAATAATTTCATGATATGTATGGAAACAGTTTAGCTTAAATAAAACCAAGTTACATTCTATATCAAAATATGAAATGCGATGCAAGTACATAGACACATATATTTCTTTCTTAAAAAGACTTTCACATACTATATAACATATGCGTGATTTAACAAGCAAAAGTTTCGATATATAAATTAACTTTCTTACTAGTACAATAGTACACATTTGACGAATAGGATTCACATAGCATCATTACGAGTATGAGAAAAAAAATTACACTTGACGTTATTAAATCACCTAGAATTACGTTTCTTTGAGGCATTATTGTCTCAATCAATTTGATTGCATGCACATTATGTTAGAACGTAGAAACATTGTAAATTCTACTTCAGTATCCACAAAATACTAATTAAAAAAAAAAATGGATAAAATACTTTACTCCTTCGTTGTTAAAATAGGATAAAAAATGTCAAAGGCTGGAATGTATTGTAAAAAAAACAATGGCAAAGTCTAACAACACCACTTCGTTAACAATAAGATCTTAACAGATTTCAATGTGACAACGTTAAATAATTCTACATTGATAAACCCAGTGTTTTATACAATTAAAAGAAATATTTTCCAAAAATTTTTTAAACCTGTCTTACTATTACATTTTTACGCCCTTCACTCAGGAACTCTGATGAAAAATCCTGCTTTTTAATAAAAGATTCAGAAAATAATATATATTGAAAGATTTTCCATGAGTTAAAGAACACGCACTATTTGAATACTTGTACATGTATAAAATAAATATTGAATATTCTTTTAATTGTAAACAAAAATTGATTATCAAGTCATTAACAAATATAAACACACACACACACCCTCTCTCTCTCACACACACGCACTAATAATTAATGTATAATTATATTTTACAAAATATCAAAATCTAAATGAAAAAACAAATCAAATTTTACACATACATTTTTTCTTTAAGTATGGCACATGTACATGTATGATGTTAGCTTAATTATGATTTATATGCTGAAGTGTAATCAACAACTGTTATACAAATTTAGCATTGGGAAAATGATTAACTTTCTTACACATAGTAAGTAGTTAAAGCATGACTTTTCATCAGTCACTTTTGACAAATTGCCTATGATAAATAATTACAGCGGTATATAAAATATTAGTACAAAAAGCTTCAGAGACATATGAGGTACGTATTTTTTTCACAAATCAAAATGACCATGGCTATTTTGATATGCATCACAATGTATGAAAATACTGAACTAAAACCCCGAAGATGGTTGAGTTTAGTACGTAAAGTTACCACCAAGTTGTGGTCCGTATTGATTGTACTGAGTTGTTCCTGCTTGTGATTGTCCGAATCCAGATGACTGTGCATATCCGCTTAGATTATTCCCGGACTGTCCATTTCCAGTTTGCCAATATCTGGACTGTCCATCATGACACACACCAAACTGACCATGTCCGCCTGTTGTGAATGAAAGCATAGAATGAAAAGTCTATCAAAAAGTGTTCTCATGTTTTTGAAAAGATATAATATTCTCTTATTTGAATGGAAAAGGTATCACATTTGAGGAAAAAATTTCATTTTCTTCCATCAATCGAAACATAATATTAATATTGTTTTCTAAATCTTATGATTTTCGGTCTGTTTCTCTGTACATGTATATTTGTACATGTAGATAATGTCAACGTTTAGTCATTTTTGTGCCTAATATCACATCGATGCTTTTGCTATTGTGAACGTAGAAGGGTCGAAAAAGTGTTAGACTATACCTTGTGTATTACTATTGAAATTTGTACCAATTTGCCCATTTGGTTGAATATTCATTCCTTTCTTCTTCTTCCACTTCAGGAAACAAATGAGCGCTACCATCGCCGGAAAGAAAACTCCAAACGCAACGATCATAGGTATGTAAACCACGATGTAATCATCATCGTCATCATAGTAATCATAATCCGACATTTCATAGGGTCATGGGGTCACGACAACAATGTTGAAAACCGGAAACAACACGGCACTCTGAAACACAAACCAATTACAATAATGTACATTTCTTGAAAGAATGTGATTTCTAATGACAGATGAAAGTAAAAAGTTTTAAAAGGATAAATCGACATGAAACTTAAATCGTCCAATAAGAAACACAAGCTTAAGGCAAACTTATGATGATCAATTTTTCATGGTGCGAAACTAAGTACTGAAAGCTAGCAAGATATTTATATTTTAACATTACAACAACACCAGTTAGCACAAGACAGTCAAAAAGACACATAATTGATTCAATATCTTATTTTTAGTTAACATTGTAAATACTTACATCTGAAATTGATGTTCGTTTATAAATTGCACCGAAGTTTAAAAACAGCTAGAATCCAGTGTTAATGATATTTGTATAATTGCACGTTCCACTGCAGTATAAACCTCTGTATTTTTTAAATTCCAAGTGCTTATGCACTATATGATGTGTGTAATAGGACAATATGGTATAGTTTAAAAGCCCTTCGTTAGTGTATTGGGGTCTTTCATGGATAATGACCGCGATTGTCGATCATTGGATTTTAACATTGATTTCAACATAAACATCGAATCAATACAGAGACCACCTGAATGAAGGATATCATCAGACGATATTGTTGGACGAAGTATTTTGGAGTGACTGTTTAATTAACCATTATTACATGACGGAACGTGTAATTTTTAAAGAAGGTTTTGTAACACATTTGCACATGAATGAACTACTGAACGACTGATCGATAGGTTTTATGCTGTGTTACAATCTCATTCAACTTGTATAAAAACAGCACTACACACAGTGCAGGGCTTCCTAATCAGACATTAATTTGGTACTAAGGTCCATTGAGCAGTAAAAGGATCTTTATCGCACAAACGCTAACGTGACAAGGGACCTCGTTTTCTTTTCGAGAAAGACCCGTGATTTTCACTATTTAATATTCGGGTATTTGGCGAGGTAACAGTTATGAAATATATATTGGTGCTCAAGTGTTTACAGGGTGCGGACCTCCTGATGAGGAAGCAAACATTCTGTCACCAGACAACCGTGACTGTTAACAATAGAGCGAGAAAAAATGTAAATTTGCAAAATAAGTAGCAATTAGTTATATTATCTAGACATGTACCCTCTGATTAACTTTATTAAGAATATTATATTAAACCTCCAGAAAGTTTTTTTTTTTAAATTCTTTAAATAGGTGTCCATAAATGAGTAATTTTCTCATGCAGAACTGAACTCCATGCAATTAAAAGCAGCAGCATATTTTTGGATGCAACACTTTTATTTCATGTATTTGTTTGATTTTGTTTTTATTTTAAATTATTTTATTTTTGTTTAGAAAGGATCCTGTAAAAAGTTGACTTATTGATCCAATAAAGAACATAAAAGAAAAAAAATCAAATATTTCATTTTTAAAATAGCCTGAAATATATCCCATTCTCATTTCCCGTGTCAGAAAGGTCGTGGTAGTTCATGTAGCAAGGTTTCCTTTGTTAAGCTCTCAGCACTATAAAGTTTCGAGTTTTTCGGATAAAACTTATAAACTGAGGTCCCATGTCACGGCGGACGTTGGTATTGTAAAGAAGACTCACTACTCAATGGTCCTTAATTACGAGTAAGAACCTCAACCTAAATATGTGGACATTTCTATATTAGTGAAAAAATTCATTCAAATGAGAAATAAAACGCTTGACATGAAGCTCAAGTTATCCGAAAAAACACAAGAACACAAAATAAAATGCAACAGGTTTTTGAATAAATGTAAGAATTTTGATATCACCTTGGGCGGCTTTAGTAATATTTTTGAAGAAAAAAGAGGGTAGATGCATGAAGATTAATCAATTTTACCATGATAACTCTAATTGTGTACTTTTTAGGGGAAATCTGGAAGGTCTTGGAAATTCATTCTCCAAGTCTGCGAAGAAAAATTCAAAGAATTATCCATTTTTCTAACACTCTGATATAATACTAAGTCTCTTCCACAAACAATATTGTATTACATGTCCTTAATTCGACTTGTATCAACTGTATCGATTGACTTGTATCAACCCGTTTATATCTATTGAACAATTACATAACACACCAAATCAGTTTTATAGCACCTGATCCCACCGCTGATGTTTTTGCTCTGCTCCTATTTTGTATTGTTTTATGGACTTTGATATTGAATACTGTTCGTTATCTCAATAATTTTCTGTTATGAATATCAATCAAGTGAAAAAAAAGTCAAGAAAGGTACATATACAATAAAGAATTTTATTCTTGCAACTCATAAAAGCGAAGAAGAATTACAAATGATAGTTCTGATATATTGTGAATAAAGTCCGGTACATGTACAAAACTGTACGTTCAAATTACACTTTAAGAACTGGACATGAAATTTACAAAAAAAAATAACCACTTAATAGCGAAGCAGAAATTATAGTTGTTTGGGAAATATTTATATCAGTGTTAGAGAAAGCAACAGGATTTTGGTGTTTATCCACTCATATCCAAAGGCTAAAGTATTATGTGATATATGAATAAACATTCCAACAAAAAACAAACAAGAAACCCGATTTGCATACGACTTAAAATCACAATATCACAGTCAGTTTATGGCATTTCTAGGCGGAATATAGGAAGACGTTTTCATTGGTTAGTAGGAGGTGGTGGTGGAGGATAGGCGGGGTTACCACCAGGTGGCGGTGGATACTGATTGTAATGGCTGAATCCTGACTGGTGTTGTCCGTAACTTGGAGGCGGCTGTCCATATCCTGGTTATACATGATTACCTGTAAATTGTGCATGATATCATATACAACAGATAATATTATGAACAAAATTATATTTTATTTCAGGTACAGAAGAGGTTAAATGAATTCTTTTCATTATTTTGTGTTTCTAGCTAGATTTCTATAACCCTGGAAATTGAACATCGATCTCGTTAAATATATTAATGTTAAAAAAAAATTGTTGAAATAAATGGATGTTTTTTCGTTATCAAGCATTTTTAAAGCTCTATGAAATTATAAATAAATCTACGGCAACCGCTGTTTTTTTTTTTTACTCCTGATATTTATTACTTGTATATAACATGTTATGGATTTGTAAATTTATACCGGTAGGTGGTAACGAATTCTGAATTTTCGGAATATTTTTTTTATTATGTCGTTACTGATTAATTATTATTTCTTAGCCACTGATTATAATAAAACCTAAGAAATGTACACCATATTCTATACAAGCTACCTTGATTTCAATGGACTTCTTAAAGGGAAAAATGATATGGGTACAATAATTTTGTTACACACTTACTTAATGTAGTCACAGTATTTGCAGGTCTGACTTGAACGACTCTTGATTGATTTGTTGTCTTACAAATCTTGTAACGACATTTAATGTAGCAGACTATTCCTATGAAGATTGTGCAAAAAATGGCCAATCCGGCTATTAATCCAGCACTGGGCCCGTCGTCGCTGCTACTGGACGAGGAAGAGGAATAATAGTAGTAATAATAATATGCTGCTGATGCAAATTGATAATCTGAAATAGAATAGAAACAGAGATATCAAAGGCCTTTGAAAAAGTTTGTTGCTATTTTGTAATTTATGCACTAAATGTTGAAATGATTAATCGAAAGATTATGGAAAGGGGTTAAGTTTCCTTTTTTGAGAAACAGGCACGTAGCAACAGGGGGGGGGGGGAGGGGCTTCACCCCCCACACTTTTTTCCCCAACATTACCTTTACTATTGAAAATTTCTATTGAAAGGTTGGTTGCCCCCCCCCCCTCCCACCTCTTACCACAGCAAAGTGATATGAAGGAAATATAGAAATGTATGCCAAAACAAGTTGGCCCCCTAACCCCCCCTCCCCACCCACCCACCCACCCGAAATAGGATTTTCGAGTTTGGCTGATTCTCTATTTTTGGCGTGTTAATTTTTACAGGTAAAAAAAAAAAATTTCTATGTTTGGCCCACCACTTTCAAAATCGATGCTACGTGCCTGAGAAATGTAACAGAATACTAGGCGTTTCATAATATATGTTACATATTGACCCTTCAATTTGACAAACACAAGTAAAAGATACAAAAATGTCTTCTTATCAAATTAATGCGTATCCATAATATTCTTTATGTTTAATTACCAACTAAAATATCAACCACTGAACAAAATCTTAAACATTTATGAACTAAACGAAATTTCCAAGTTGCATAATTTTTTGCTATGTTGAATTTCACAACGTCAAAATTCCCATTACATGTTCTAAATGATCTCCATTATTTCAACAACAAATTAATGAAAGTTGCTTCTTGAAATTTGTATAGAGAATGACCTTGTCACATATTTTTGCTTAAACTTATCATTTGAAGATTTATGTTCTTTTTGAAGTCATTCAGTATTAGTGGTCCAGGATTGTAGACACTTTTTCTTCAGAACCCCTACAGAAAAGAGTCCAAAGATTGAGATTGTCGAATGCAAAGGTCAATTGTAAGCTCTTTCCTTGCACATTGAAAATTTGTAGGTTTATAACTTTAAATCATATTTCAAAGTTCAATGTATGCTGAAAATGATGATATTGCCAGCATCAATTTCTGAAAATTTCTATCAGACACTTTTTATCAGAGGTTTGCTTCACTAAGAGTCTCCATTTCACAAAATGAATCTCCGCTTCTTTTAAAGTTTTTTGGCTTTCTGGAATACCGTGTCATTTATCACAGATTTCCTGTAGCTGTCCTTTAACCTTGTTACAAGCCTTAAGCTTCTGATATGCATCCTAGAAAGATTCTATTCTATTGGAAAATGTATTTCATTAACTTCTGAATGAATATTGGACACATGAATTGAAAGCGAAGGCAACTTTACAATATTGATCCAGCACTGAGTGGATAACCTAAGTCCATTTCGAAAAATATTCAAATTATGACATCCCCGTTTATAGCACAATTAACCAATGTAAGACCAAGATTGTCTCGACTTTTTCACATGGAACAAAAATCCAGAATTTGATGTTTAAAATGATATATAGTTTGCAATAGATGCATGATAAGTAAGAAAAATAATTAGATTTAAAAATGTAACATATATTATGAAACACCCTGTACTTATCAATTTGTCTTTTCTTCATGATGAGCAGTTGTCATACCCCCCGCTTAAAAAAAGGAGGGTATAACGTGATCGAGATTTCCGTCTGTCCGTCCGTCTGCACGTCCATTCGTTTGTCTATCCGTCTGTCCGTTCGTCGATTATGCTTTGGAATACCCATCTCTTTCCCGCAGCTCCTCTTAATGAATGAATTTCGATGAAATTTTCACACTATCGTTGTTACAAAGTGCCATTTTGCTCCTTTTATTTAATCATTTAATTGGACACATATTTCGGGTTTCCCATAGTGAAACATGGACATTGC